ATAAGCAGCCAAAGCAGCAGCCCTCCATAAGCAGCTAAATTATACGGGCTGTGACACCATAAGCAGCGCCATATGGTGATGTGGCGCGCGTGTCACGGCCCACGGTCACGCGGGATGGCGTTGCTCTCGTTTTCGGGCCCGTGACGTCCACGCTTCATCAACTCCCGCGTGCTCCCCTACTGAAAATCTTGGCCGTGGTTTGGCTAACGCAGTGAATGGCTTAGGTGGCTCTCACATTTTATGGCTACTATTGTCTGTAGTGTGAAATGAAAGTTCTGATCTCTCCTTTGAGTCGTGCATGTACTCCCATACGTTGATCTTTCCCGTATTTTTGCTGGAAAATGGCTGCTTGTGACCTGAAATAATTGGTTTCTTTTAAAACAGAAATGACAATCAAAAGGCTTTTAAACAATAAGCTTTTAACGCTCAAAATGACCGTTCGCGCCCTAAAGTTTGGTTTCTGATGCAAAAGTTTTTTTTTCATCTCCAATCAGGTGAAAATTGTAAACAGTAATAAATAAGATTCTTTATTTTTTCTATTAATTTTTTGACTCGATGGAGTTTCATCATCCTGTTCTTTTTTCCGAGATAATAACACATTTTTTTCGTATTGAGGACAAGTTTCTTCAACGAAGTCGATTATTGCGGTTTATGTCATTACGCGGAAGATCCGACCACTCGATGATTTGGGATATACTTGAAATGGGATTTACTTTTATTTACCTCTACTTTTGTGGGATTTCATGTTTAAAATTTCATTGCTGCTGATCTGCAGTTCTGCACATCATTAACTTTTGTTAAAACTGGCTCCAGAACTTCACCTCAATTAAACATACTGTAACTCATTTATCAATTATAATCCGTTTTGATTATTCAGCCAAGTCATTCCGCACATTCTTGAATGTGCAGAACTGTTACGCTGTTATAGAGGGCGTAATATATATTTATCATATGTTTCCCCAGTTCCGATAACTGAATCTTAAAATTAGGTGTATTTTTGAGAGATTCCAGTTAATTTTTTTAAAGAGCACTCGGGAGACACATAATCTGTAAAACCTTATTTCACACGATACAACCATGTTCCACCGTGCCCTTTACGACAATGTGGATGCTATTAAGAGTCCGACTCTTGGCCGCCGATAATTGTGCTATAATTTGCAGCTGGAAAGTGTGGGAGAAAGTAGCAGTGGTCTGCCCGAGTGGTGCGGTCAGTAGTGAGTGCTGGGAACTTGGTGTGTTTCTTCCACGATTGTGGCCGTCATTTGGGTGAAATTGAGCAGAACTTCACTGCGCTGCACACACTCCAACTCACGCCATGCATCGCTGCAGTAACCATGAGATATACTAGATAAATTGTCACCACGATGAGGCATTATGAATGAGTCCTCCATTGCTGCTGCAACCATGATACATTATGGAGGTATTGTGACATCGAGATAGTCCTTGTAATAACCTCTGCTGCTGTCGCAACCCGAGCTGGATATTGTTCGATTTTGTACCCCGTTACAAAACTGCGGCGTAACCACGAGATTTTTAGGACATTGTTATAACTAATTCATCAACGGCAATTCTTCTTCTATTTACAAACTATGTCAATATACCTGTTTAAAGAACGATGTCTCGAGACCCTATTATAGAAGTCAATGATGAACGAACACCCGTCTGAGTCATCTAATAATTTACCGTCTGTGCTCCAGGTAGCCATGGTACACTTCTGAAATTTCCGAGTCATAGATGTAGCGTGGTCATTACCTTTTGAATTACGCTAATATTTTTCCATGTGTTTAAATGTGCGTGTTATACATGCGCGTGTTGAAGAAGTGGTTCATGCTCGTGACCCGGGAGCGCTGCGTGCATGGCTGCGCTGTACAGCTAAGAAAGAGACGCGTAATGCCGCTCTTGCACAACTACTCTGCTGCCATCACCCAGCAATGCATGCAGCCAGCATACCTGTGTGTGTGTCACTCATGTGTGTGTATGTGTCACTCATGTGTGTGTATGTGTCACTCATGTGTGTGTATGTGTCACTCATGTGTGTGTATGTGTCACTCATGTGTGTGTACGTATTTTTTACTCGCGTGTGTGCGTCACTTGCGTGTATGTGTATTTGTATGGGTTTCTTGGGTTGTATATATGTATCCTGGAAGCTATTGAGTGTGGACGAGTGGTTTTATGGATGTAATATGTACATATCTATTAGCATACACGGTTGTAAAAACAATCTATACATTGAACGATTGGTACGAATGATTCTTCAATTTACCGGCTGAAGCACGTTCGCACTTGTGCAATATTAATGCCTCTCCCAACTTATTTGTGTTCGAATTGTAGTCATACTTTGACGCGGACAAACGATTCATATGTGCGTGCATGTGCTAATGGGACATGCGCACGAACAGTGCTCATTGATGCGCAGTTACGCCTTGTCGTAAGATCAACGAGCTCCTCTTGCTCAATGCTGCCTCTCTCCTCATCGACACGAGCGGCCTGGCATCCAAACAGCCGTGCATCCAACAGCGATGTATTTGAACAGCCCTAAATCTTGACAGCCGTTCATTTAAATAGCTCTACATCTTAACAACCGCACATTTTAACAGCCCTACATCTAAACTATAGACCGCGCATTTTAACAAACGTACATCCAATCAGACCTGTATTGAAACAGCCCTATACATCCGATCATCCGTTCGTTCATCTAAAAATCTCAGCATCCAAAAATAACTAATTGTATAAAGTTAGTTTTATATCCTAACACTCATGTATTCAAGCAGCCCAACTTGCGACGGAAAAGCTCCGTTGTCATACTTGCCCAGTAAACACTTTCCGTTGATTGATAATAACTGGCGCAATTATGTGTTTGATCCTCGCGCGCGCAACGGATTTTTCTGTCGAATTATGACACTTATGCGACGTCATAAGTGTCGTCTATTTGGTCTAGTCTAAAGGTAAGAAACCGAATGCCCATCACCTACGTTAGAGTGATACTAAATAAGTATATACCATTTTGGCATTCATTTTCCTGCATTCTACAAAGAAAATTATGATACTTTGTCTTCAATTTTGTTAGCAGCCTGTTGCAAGTGTTGCTAGTCTGCAAATTTTTTAAATACGCTCGTGACTCCTTTTCTGTTCACATATCTCACATCACGTATATACCTTTTGTACGAGGTAACAAAGCCTGGTTTACTGCATAAAGCTTAGAGCATATTTTATATTGTCTAGATTTGCTACAATATATTTATGATATGTTTCCCCATTTACGGCGGTCTTGTGTAATAGGCATGACTCTTGACTTTTGAAAACACTCGCAAATCTTTCATGCGCACGTCAAGCCTGTGCAGATTAAAACTTGCATCGTTGGACTTGTTATAGGGTTGTCATAAGTTAGCATTATGGAGCGGCCTAGAATTCGTTATTGTGGTATGATATGCTGGAATTTCACTTGGACACATATGCAAGAGGAAACTTGGGTTTCAATTCTGTACGTACAGTCCATAATTAACAGTCTCGATCTCAGTGTTTGGGTCGCCTGCAGATTTCCAAACGCTCCTTGAATTTGTACTACCACCTCTCGGCCTTGAGTATTTTCTCGGGTCACGCCTTCAATATAAATGGTCATGTATTGCTCATTGTCTCTATACCGTCAGAGTCTGTATCTATCTTCGCGCATTCTTTGGCGCTGAGAAGTTTGCGGTTCCGCTCTCCGCACGTGATAATTATCGGGACCTGGACGCTGTGCTGTTGCTTCATGCGGGAGCATATGGTCTCCGGTAGCTCCAGGGCTTCCATCATTACAGTGTGGAAAGATAGAGGCTGCCAAGACCTCCAGTTCCTATTGGGTCTCTTATGACTATGAGGTCGTGCGTCAAGCATGACTGCAAACCAAAACTAACGTTGTCTAGGTCTGATTGTGGTGTGCTGTCCCCCCGATACTTCCGTTCTCACTGCTTTGGAACTTCCGGACTTTCGTTCTCACTGCATTGGGAGATGAACTCCCTAAACCTCTAACTCTTCCATGGTCATCCGTAAGTCTGAGGTCTTCCATCATTGCTGCAAGTCGATAAAAAGTCCTCACACAGTCTCGCAGGAACTATGAAGGCTTCCCTCATGACTGCAAGGCGAGACAAAAGCCACAAAATCCTCTATACATCAAATGAAATGTTCTCGAGAGCCATCGCACGGTGCCTGTAATCCATTCCATGAGCTAATCTCCTGCGGCACAGCTAATGAGTGGGAGTATCTGGCGGATCGCTGTCCGTTTCTCAAGGAAAATTTACCTCTGTGTGCACCGCGTGCGGTTAGCATCACGCGACCATAAATCGCCTCATCCCTGATGTCGAAACACCTCAATGACTTAGATCATCTGCCATCAATAAGAGAACTTATCGCAATCTAGATCGGGAGTGATTATTACGTACGAAGCGGTCAATGTGTATGTTGGAAACTTGAAGATGTCTTCCGTATAAATAACATCTGTTTTGCGGTGTACGCCACTTACTGGCCCGATTCCCCGGTTTGAACGTGCCGAGTGGTTATCATCCTGGCTAGCGTAACGGTAAAGCTTTAAGTTTGTACGCCTTTTACCGTACTTGCGTGATGTTGGTTATAGTGTTGGCTGCAGCATCAGTTTATGATGTTGAATAGCTTAGTATATATTGAACTTCTTGTACGAAAACACTCTGTATTTTCCTTTTCTTTTATTTACCTGAGTGTAACTACAACGTTTTTCTGGGGTGCAAAGGGATGTTTTGTCGCTATGGTAACATTACCAAATTCAAGGCGGGATTTGAACCTTTAAAAATAACTCAACGATGAACTTTTCTGTATTCTGCTTCATAGGGAGTAAGCACTCTTAGGGGCTGTACTCTCACTACCTGTGTGGATTATTTTATCAAGAATTTGCGTCGAATTTTTCCTTCCTTTTTACCCATGAGAAGTAGGAACGCCGTGTGCCAAATCTTGCCCAGTCATAATGTCTTTTCCTTCATTGTCTCTCGCAGGATTGCCATCGCATTGGACAGCACAATGGAGGCCGAGCGTTTTCTGCTCAAGTGGAACAACCACCAGAGCAACCTGGTGACCGTGTTTGATCAGCTTTACGAACAGGAGGCCTTCACTGACGTCACTCTGGCTTGCGATGGAAAGTCATTCGCGGCTCACAAAGTCATTTTGTCGGCGTGTAGCCCGTACTTCCAGTCCCTTTTTCTGGCAAATCCAAACACCCATCCAATCGTGTTCATGCGCGATGTTCGTGGTTCGGATTTAGAGTCTTTACTGGCCTTTATGTACCGGGGCGAAATCAACGTTCATCAGCAAGATCTCGCTTCCTTCTTAAAAACTGCAGAAAGTCTACAGATCAAAGGACTCTCTGACTGTTCTGAAAGACAAAGGGACTCTTGCAAGATTCTTGAAGCTATGGAGAAGAAATTTAATACGGCCCCCAACCACAACAATAATATAAACACCAACAACAACAACAACCACAATGCTAATCATATTATCAGTAATTCCTTTAACAACCACTCACCATCTTCCAACTGCTCATCAGCTGCGCCGTCTCCCACGTCAAATTCCTGCCACAGCGGCCTGGGACCCGCAGCCAACGCTTTTGCTGGAATCAGAAACCTTCCGCCCAGGGTTTCCAGCGCCCTCAGCACTCTCAGCAGCTTGCATCTCGGCAACAGCATCAACGGAGGCCTTGCAGGAGCCTATGGAAACTTAGGAGCAGGGTTACCAGTCCTTGCAGCCGCCGCTGCTGCCGGTAACGGATACCCAGAAAACCTTTCCACTAACTCCAAGCCTGGGAGCCAAAGCCCTCCCGCCAAACGCAACAGATCTTATGAAGACCTGCCACGAATACTGCCGAAAGTACGTAGTTCCTTGACGAGTCCTCCGTCTCTCATGTCCAATATTCCTGGCCTCCTAACGCCCATCTCGCTGGCTGCCGCCGCCGTCAATTCCGTTGTCACTCAGCCTCAGGTGCCAATTCTTGCCAACACCCCGACGTCCGTCCATGCCAGCCCTCCCACTCCAGAGACTTCGAGTTCTTCGCCGGCCACTGATTCTGCTACGCCCACCAAGGATAAAATTAAGAAGGTAGGTACTCGTATTAAAAGAATATGAATTGAGCGTAGATAATTTAAGAAATGAACATTTTATATTAAAAAAATTTATGTCAATAAGAAAAAGGTAAGAGAAGAAATGTTATACGTTGTCTTTGCGTTTTAAAAATGAAGAGGATATGAATTGATAATAATTGGAATACTAAAAACAATATAAATTCTGAAGTGAAACATTGGTATCATGGGGAAAATTGTAAGTGGGCATCAACTCTATGCAGGGAAGTAATATAACGGGCAAAGTTTACTTATTGAATAGAAAACAAAAATGGTTACCGCAACCATCATCTTTTTAAGGCCAATATTATTCTGCATTGACATTCGCAGCAATACATTGACAGTTGAAAAAACATGTCTGTCAGTTGCGAAAACATGTCTTCATTTTTGTCAACGTTTCGTTGAATATGAATCTTAAGTATATTCTATAAATAAAAATAAACTTTTATTCAATATTTCATTCAAATCAAATGAATCATTTGCTTCATTCGATTCCCAACTTAAGCCTCATACTGGAGGAAATGACAAAAATTTCAAGTCTCAATTTTCCATATTTTAGTCTTAAATATTAATAATTAATGAGTGAATATATTGTTTCAAAGCTTAATTTCATCTGTAGCTCATTCTCTGAAGAAGTGCGCCGTCTTAATATTATCAGACCTCTTAATGCCGCTCACTTTTCTGGCCAAAAAGAGTTGAACGACCTGCAGCTGGAGTCTATATACTCCACAAGTGTGACATTCGGTTGCTTTGTTGTGTGCCCTCGTCCACGCCAGACTTGCTCCATGCTACCCGCATGCGCGTGATCGAAAAAATGGCTTGTACTGTTACAGCGTACGATGTGACTGTCGCTATAACACTATAACACCAATAAAATTACTTGTACTGTTACAGCGTACGATGTGTCTGTCGCTATAACGCTATACACCAATAAGATGACTTGCACTGTTTCAGCGTACGATGTGTCTGTCGCTTTAACACTATACACCAATAAGATGACTTGTACTGTTACAGCGTACGATGTGTCTGTCGCTTTAACACTATACACCAATAAAATTACTTGTACTGTTACAGCGTACGAAGTGAAAGTCGCTATAACGCTATACGCCAATATAATAACTAGTTTTCTGGCGTACCTTGAGACTGTTGATCTAACGACTGTGTTAGTATTGTGATGTGTCTAAAAAATCCCTCGTTATATGCTAGTATAAAAATCTTCGAAAAAAATAGACAAGTACGTTTTAAAGTACTCAATCACGTTTCACGCATCTTCACGAAATTTACTTGAATTATCTACAAATTGCTAGTGCTTCATTCCAGATAATTTGTTAATTTAACTTCAACCTGTTTGACGTGTGATTTTTCTGATTCTAACTTGACCTTCATTTCAGCAATTTGCTTTATCTGCCATTTCAGAAATATCTATTCGCTATTCATTTTACGAATGCAAGACTTTTAATGAGTCCGGTCAGCTGCATTCGTCCTAAAAATTACTGCCAATGTGAGATTAATTGTCATGTCAGCGCCCATTTACCGGAGACCGTTCAATGGACTCTGATAAACCGAATCTGATTTTTATATGATATTTCAGACTCTCAAACACTGATGACTATTGTAACCATACCAACGCTGGCCAGCCGTCGGCCATTCGTATAAAACACCTATGCGCCAGCCATGATTTTTATTGAGAATGATGTTGGTGGTTCAGATTGTGGTGCTCGATTCTATCACTGATAGCAGGTGATCGATTTTATGGTGAACGATGCAATTTGTGGATGTGGACGCCAGGTCGATAACGCGCCCGCATGTGTGTCGAGCTGGGCAGCTCCTGCGTGTATTGATCAGCTGCAATATATTCCTCTGTACGCAGTGTATAGTGTGTTCCGGGTAATGTTATAGCATTAAACTGCACGTTTATACATACATATACGATGGAAATATTATGTCAGTTATCTTCTCAAAAGTATTCGTAGCCGGTGTAGTAATGCGTTTTTTTTCTGAAAAATACGTTTGCCTTGAAAATTTTGCGTTTTTTTATATAACAAACGTAAAAATCAGGGAACGCTAAGGAACTTTAATTTATCAATATTGAAGTTACGAATGCCCTTTGCCAACAGTCCTGCAAATTTGACAGCAAAAATATTCTCGCCTTCATTTTGAACGGGGGAATGAACGTGTGTCAGTTTTATCTGTCCACTTACCCCCGTTTCAGCTGACTCGCGCACTATATTGTGTATGGTTTCTATATCTCTGCTGCTCGGAGCACGAAACTGCAAGCACTGTTAAGATGCACTAGTAAGAAACGGGCTCTTTACACATGGCAGTCAGAATTTTGTCCGGCGAGTTGCTTCCACAGGCTGACAAGTTCCGGTTAAATGATTTTAGTTCTTTTTTCCGTAAGATCGAATAGCAAATTAGACGTTACGTGCGATAAAATCATCAACAACGATCAAGTATATATGGTCCTGTATAAGACCATGTGCTTCTCAGATTTGGCAGATCACAATTTGAACACCTCAATAAAACTTGTAAATAAAACATTTGAATTGAAATTTCCAAATTTGTTCTGTTTCTTAGATATGTTAATAAGCGGTGTCCATAAACTTACAGTGATTTTAATCAGGTCTGTAATTGTGCGGTTCGCGCGGTGACATATGTGAAGAACTTCTTTGTTGTGCCGACAACTGCAGAGTTGATTGATCACCAGCGTTGTAGACAGCACACCTATCTCAGTACACAGCACAGTGCACTATATAGCTGCTAACTGCTCATTGCACCGGTGCACTGAACCGTTTGCTAATTTGCTTAAACGATAGATAGTTTTCAGTAGTTTGAAGTTTTTCATGTCTCTCTGCACACTGCACGGTTCACCACCCACTACACCGCATACTGTTCAGGTGTCTGCTGTATATTTTGTTCGTGCAAATATTATCGCATGCCTCAATTTAAGCTGTATACCCAAATGATCACTGAGAACTGATGTTGAGGTGATATAGTTTTACAATGATCGTAAATTTGAGTTTATGATCTAAGATTATCGGGTTTATTTCCATGACTGGACATCAACTGGCTTTCGAATTTATGAGACGAAAGTTATTTTTAAGTGCGTAACCTGGTTGCGTTATTCTTTCAAATCCGGTATATACATATATTCCAGACTTAAATGCCCTTTGCTGATATTGAATGTCTTTCGATAATACGGCTTTAATATTCCTAGTTTTCTGTTTATAGATAATCTGCTTAATACATATTGTTGCCCCCTAATATCATTTGCCTTTTGCGAAAGCCTTTTCACACGGGCACTGTTGATTGACTCAGTTCGTGTTTCTCTTTATCAATTGCTGTGGATCTATCTGGTACATTTGCATTATAGCTGTACGATTGTTGTCAACACGAGTGACCAGCAGATCACCAACTATAATGAAACGTCACCCTTCGTTCTTATCACGTCCTTTGTGTTATTTATCTATAATTGAATCGGTATTTAATTATATGTCATGATAGCGTTTTAGTTTCTATAGCAAGGTGGTTAATTTTTCGAATTTTTGAGTTTTCTTTTCAATGTTTGGCATTGGCATGTATCTGTCACCTTGAACAACATTAATAAAAGATATCGGCTGTTTATCTCTGGAAAGTTTCGGCGCCAAGGATAAATCGGCTGGAACACCTGTACACTAAACGTAACCTACTTTAAGTGGCGCACATGTCGTCTCTGGGAAGGACACTTGATACCAAACATCGCGTTTACAAACTCGGTAGCTGGTTGAGTTACTTAACCTTGTTTGTTAGTTTTATTCTACCGATAGATAGATTTAAAAAAATTAATGTTTAATTTACTCTGCATGTACGGTTAAATTTGTGGCGTGTGTCCAGGTTATAGAGTTCGGCTTCTTTATTTCGGTGCTCTTACCATTCACATATAAAGGCGATGCATGGTCTTATTGAGCGCTCCATATTAAGACAAGATCGGAATACTCTCTAGTACTAGAAATTGTAACTGGACCCTGTTTTTACTATGGGCGATTTATTACGCGGACTTATTTATTGATCGAATTAAAAGTGAAGATCATAACAGTTCAAGGTATTATACTGAACTGAAGTGAAGTGCGACCTTGAAATTAAATTATTGAGATCGTTAACTTCATCACTCACTCGAACTTTGTTTTTAATGCTGCAGCTGCTCAAAATCAATGTTTATCAATCATTTTTCATTGCTGATTCGTGTATCGGAGATGCACTTGCGGGAACTACAATTAACTGCAATTGAAATAATTTACCTTCATGTTGAACAAAGCGGTAGCCAGACGGTGGCCATGCATGCATCCACAAATTCACCTGGTGAAAATTTTTAACTGAGTTATTACAACACTTCTCTTTAAATTCACTTCTTGATTGTTTGTTTGTTTGTTTGTTTGTTTGTTTGTTTGTCTGCAACAAATCTTATACAGTAATCGATATTTAACACACTACTATATACCTGTCCAATCGATCTGAAATTTTGCACACTTGCGTAAAGTCGGAGACAATGCTTGAAGCAATTGACAGAATAAATAATTTCAAAAAAATTGTAAACCCCTTTTTCTAGATATTAAAAAATGAAAAATATTTATTTTTAAATACAAAAAAAATCGAAATTCATTGTACATGTGTAATATCGGAGACACTGGCCTCTTTGGAAGTGCTGTTTTTAAAAAATAATTTTTAAACGCATTTTATTTTTGATCTGAACTCGTCATGCTTTGCTATAATATTATTAATGCCAGTTACAGTAGATCATGTCTCAGTTTCAGTTTTGAATGCATTTGAAGTGACTGATGATGCTGCGCTTAATGTGATGATACATTCGCTTGTTGTGTGCTCATTAAGAAATGGTGATTTTGTTTATTTGGTATACACGTTATGCGCGCACACTAAAGTTCCATCGCTTTATGTTTACGAGAAGACTTTTATATACGTAATAGCGGCATGTGGTCATTATTT